AATCACTCTTTTTGGTCAACTTTTGTAAGGTAACCATATCATTTTTGACATATTTTAGTGTCAGAGCACTGACTGAACATAACTAGATAACTTGATGCACAAAACATTTTTGTAACAAGGGTGTAATTATTTTTTGGAAAATATGCTCAACCAACCGGTCGAATTGGCCTTCATATTGTAAACTAGCAATATTACTTTTTCCAATAAAATATGGTAAATAAATAGATTCATGGTAATATTACTAAATCTAGTACTCCCTTATGAGTCTCAGAGTGAAAGAGTGATACTAATTTATATAGCACCTTTCATGCCATACTGTACAGCCCAAAGTTGCACACAGATGAGCAAGTTAGGCCAACACAGGATATAGACATTTGCTGTTAGGCCAGTTGTTTGTTGTTAGGCCAATTCAGCATATACAGTAAGATGAGCACGTTTTTTTTTATTATGAAAAACACCAAACATTACTTTTTTCCATTTCTTTATTTTCTACAATTATAATTTATTATTTTATAGGAATATATATGGTTGTATATATTGCTCATCTCCCATAAAAGAAAAAAATGTATTTGAGTTTGGGTTTTATTTGAGTTTGATGCATACAAAATACTGTAGCCTACTGTATGATGATTGTTGAAAATGCACTTTTACCAAGGCCAGCACGACCAGTTGGTAGAGGCTCAAAAAAACAAAACTGTGTGGTCAGTCAAAAAAAATAAAAATGGTTTGTGGTTATTTGTCCTATTTGATAAAAAAATGCAAAGAAATAATTTTTCCATAGATTTCTTCTTGGTCTGGCAATTAAAGGGTTAAAATATGATTATTTCTCTGCCCCTAGTTCGTTCCTCGCAGATTCTTCAGTCTCATCAGCCTCATCTTTCCATCTGTCACAGTCAACGCATCAGCCTCCAGCACACTTTCAGTGTCTGACTCATAGACTGTATATATAAACTATGACTATGACTCCATAGAGATATTGTCCTGATGCTGTACAAGGGTGATGCCCCATGATCAAAAAATGACCCCTGTAGAGTCTGAGAGTGCCACTGACCTCTACATGTCACTTGTTAGTTGCTTTTACCTTAAAGCGACTTACATACACTCAATACTGTGGACAATCCTCACAGGAGCTATTTGGGGTGAAGCCCAGGGACACAACGACATGCTGACTGCAGTGGAGATTGAACCAGTGCCCCCCTGATCCAAAGATCAACGCACGATCAGCCACAGCCTCCCTAGCCATATTATGTCTCTCATTAATGTTCATTAATCACCCCTTATAACGATTTTCACACTGCGCATGCTCAGAGTATTTTTCAATGTAATGTGTGTGGCAAAAAAAAAAAGGCCAAAGGGGCACGGAGCTGCCATCCCCACCATACGTCAGCTCACATTATTCAGAACTGATTGGCTGTAAATATGTCACGTGTGCAGTGCTGCGAAACGTCACGTGTAGTGTGAAGAGAAGACGAGAGAGCAGCATATAGCTAACATCACCAGCGATTAAAAAGAAGTAAAAAACGGAAAGAAAATGAATGAAGTTGACCATTTACTGGAGCACACATTTGAGACACTTAGTCTCGGAGAGAAACTGGAGGTAAAGCGCCTCGGTGCCCACCATCCACCGGATTTCCAAATGGTCCAGACTGCGGGCAAAGTGAACCGCGGGTTTAATGCTGAGTGGTTTGCTAAAAAGAAATGGCTAACGGCGAGCATCCAGAAGAATTCCCTCTTTTGCTTTCCTTGCCTGCTTTTTGGTGAAGATCAAGGTACTTGGTCGAGGACAGGTTACAAGGACTTAAAGCATCTTTCGGAGAGGACAATGAAGCATGAGAGCAGCAACAGTCACTTGGAAAATGCCGTAAAATTGGGATTACTGGGAAGGGTGAATGTTGCAGCTCAGATTGACAGCGCCTACAGACGCGGCATTGATGATCATAATAGAAAGGTGGAAGAAAACAGGTACGTGTTGGGTCGGATCATCACCTGTATTAAACTGTGTGGGAAATGTGAGACAGCACTGGGGGGGCCACGACGAGTCGGCGGACTCTCTGAATCCAGGGATATTCAGGTCAATTTTCGAGACAATGTGTGAGGGCGATTCCAGGCTTCGACGGCACTACGAAGCTCAGCCCGTTTTCAAAGGGACATCAAGCACCATACAGAATGAACTCTTGGACTGCATGTATGATGTGTACAGGGAGGAAATATCCAAGCAAGTGGACAACACATCATTTGTTGCCGTTCAGGCCGACGAGACAACCGATGTCTCATGTAAATCGCAAATGGTGATTGTGCTGCGATACATTATGCCTGACCTCACAGTTACAGAGCGTTTTTTGGAGTTTGTGGAAGTAAAGGACAAAACTGGTGTAGGTCTCTCTAACAGCATCAAGGCTGTTCTTGAACCCCTGAAGCTGAAAGAAAAGCTAATCGCTCAGACCTATGACGGGGCGGCCGTCATGAGCGGTAACGTGCGCGGGGTACAGACGGTCATGAAGGAGACGTACCCAAACGCTCAGTTTGTTCACTGCTACGCCCACCAACTGAACCTGACCCTGCAGCAACTGTGTTCAGCAAGGATGAGCATCCTGAAGGTGTTTTTTGCAGATCTAACTGCTTTTTTCCACTTTTTTCTCCGGTGCTCCAAAACGTGTTGCAGCTCTTGCAGAGGCAACACAGAGACGCATACCACGGCCACCGGCTGTGAGATGGAACTTTAAAAGCAGAACTGTGAATCGCGGTTTGGGAGACCCGAGAAGCACTTCTTCAGTGTATGGACCATATACGCACACAACCAGGATGGGATGCGGTCACCATAAGTGAGGCATACGGCCTGTCAAAGAAACTGCGGGACCGAGCATTTATGCAGCTCCTGGAGTTTTTTTCGTTGCTTATGCCAGAAGTGGATGTTTTATACAACACTCTGCAAAAACGAAGCATCGATGCACCTGGGATCAACAGCGCGCTCTGCCGCTTCAAGGAAAATGTCCAGAAAATGAGGCAGCAAACTGATGCATTGGCCGCCACCACTCATGATGGAACAGACGAGCCAGGCCGACGAGTCAGCAGCACAGCGCCGGTAATGAAGGAGGCATGTGACACAGTCATCTCACAGGTGGAACAGAGGTTCTCACAGAGTGACCATTTGATCGCTGCAAAGCTCGTTGACAGCTCATTCTTCCCACAGCATGTCC